CTAGGTGCCTATGGGAGCTCCTGGAAAGTGGGATGTACCATCTGCCTTCCCAGATGAAGATGGTCCAAGGTCAGCATGTTTTTGAGTTTGTTGATATGTGACTTTAATCCTTTTAGTGCCTTGACTATCCTCTAATCAGAGCCCCAAGGCTAAATTCATAGGGCCAGATATAATTTCAAATTCTTCCTCTTTATTAGCTTCAGGAATGTAGATAGACTATTACTTCTTTTTATCCTGTTCAATAACCTGAGTTTTGCTCTTTGCAATGTCAAAAAAACCAAAACAAAACAAAACAATAGCTCCAATTTTATCTGAAGTCTTTCATTTGGCTTCTACGTCAGCTCCCTGATGCACATATCCCACTCTCAAAATCAGAGACTGCGGTAGACAAAATAATGGACTTCCACAAATTTCCATGACCTGATCCCTGGAAACTGTGAAAATATGATGTTACGTGGCAAAGGAGAATTAAGATTACAGAATTTAAGTTGCTATAAAAATGACTTTAAGATAAAGTGATTATCCTGGATTACATGGGTGGAGCTGGAGTAATCACAAGGGTCCCTTAGCCCTAGAAGGGGGAGGCGGAAGATCAATGTCAGAGTGATGTGCTGGAAGAATGACTTGACTTGCTGTTGTCAGCATTGAAAGAGGTCACAAAGCAAAGAATAAGACCAGCTTCTAGAAGTTGGAAAAATAAGAAAATGAATTCTCCCCTGGAGCCTCCAGAAACACTGCCCTGTTGACAATCTTGATTTAAGCCTAGAGAAACCCATTGTAGACTTCTGACTTGTAGAATGGTAAGATAATAATTCATGTTGTTTTAAGCCACTAAATTTGTGGTAATTTGTTATAGCAGTGGCAGGAAACTAATACAGTGTTGAAGATGAAGAAATAAAGGTGGCACTTTGTGTACAGATAGGCACACTTCTAGGCTTATCTCCTCGTTCTTTCTATTTGAATTTGTGCTTAAGCTCTATGTAGTCACCCTGGTGCCAAACACTCTGTACTTTTTGAACAGCAGTGTCCACTGTCCTAATGAAAAGAAGCATTGCTTTAGAAAATAGCTCTTGAGTAATCACAATTTAAAAGTAGAAAGAAATACAGGCAATCCTGTATTAGGTGGATTGCAACAGGCTTTGGGATGCAATGTCATCCCATTTATATATATTTTCTTATCTATATTTTCATAGATAAGTATCACATATCATTTGAAAAATGCACACATGGAGATACAAACAAGAATGTGTAACCACTTTCAATCATGCATGTGCTTCCATATAAATCCATCCAAATAGATGTGTACCCCCACAGAAACACACACATTCACACCACACAGCAGTGGGATGGATTCACACATGTGAATTCACACATCTAAACACGTGTGCATACATACTTTACCACCAGAATGCTGACACATTCGCTTATACAACTGTATAAAAGCCAATGTATTTTTAAACACTCTTGAAACCTCATAGAGGTAGATATTCCTAGACCCACATAACCCCACCCATACTCTATTCATATACACAGGTATATACACACATTAAAAAGTCCATATAGTGACATATAAGAACACCTGTTCTTGGCTCATTCCATACCAGGGCTGCTGGGCTGAGGGAAGAAGGAAAACTTTTTCTAAAAACTAGGTGAAAAAAAAAATTAGTGAAAAAAAGGGGTATGGATAATGAATATCCATAGAGGTAGAGTGCATGCTTAGCATGCATGAGGTCCTGGGTTCAATCCCCAGTATCTCCACTAAAAAAAAAAATTAGGAAAAACTAGGTGATGTTAATATACATATACTTGCCATCATTAGTGTCAGAGCTATTTTTTGCTCAGATTGAAATTAACCTTGAGAGAGTTTGAACTCTATTACTAAATCTAGGGTCTGGATAGCAGTTTAATTCATTTCGAGAATGAGCAGCTTAGAAGAAAACATAGCTTAGAATCTGAAACTAGATACAATATTTATTGTCTTTTCTTAACAATTGCAATTTTAGAAACTGAGGGGGGACCTATATATGAAAATGACAATACATTTGCATAATTTGTCCTCTTCTTGGATAGTAACAACAAATCTAACAATAGGACTAATTAACATAATAACACAACCCCCATGGGCGATATTTTGCTACCAAGAGATGCACAGTGGCTCAGTTCCAAGAGCAAGCATCCCCAGGGACAAACCAGAGTGATTACCAGGGACGTGGATGACAGAGGCCAGTCAAAGACAGAATCAAAGACTTAGTTTCTGGATGGGTGCCAGTATGTTTTTGAATGTTATATAAATGGAGACTGTTCATACCTTTAAAGAAATGGAAAGTGATTACTGTGGCGAAAAGTAAGACCGCTCTATTTTAGTCCCCTTGCAAATGTAAGATCCATGTTTGTATCAGATTTATGAGGGTGAGATGGGATGGGGGGTACTTTCCTTACAAGGAAGAAAATGGTAAGCCCAGGAGACAATATGTCCAACTACATCTTAAAAGAATTAAAGCAAAGATTGTGTGGGATTTTGTCCTATATCAAAACCTCCATTTAGAGATTTTGCAAAGGCAGTTAAAAATCAAGAATTCGATCTTGAGAGAGAAAGGGAGAAGGAGACAGAGGGAAAGAGAGACAGAGATCCACATGGACTCCATTTTAAAGCCATTGGAATGAATGGCAACTTGGAGAAAGAAATTTACTGAGGCAACAGAAGGACAAGGGGAGAACTTGGAGAAATATCCACATCATGCGTGAAAGGAAGAAGTGAAGGAAGGCAGGTGAGGAAACAGGAGAAGGTGGAAAGAGGAGATGGTGGTTGGGTGCCCTGAAATCAGCAAAGAGATTAAAAGCAGGAGACTTTAAATATGTGTAATTTATCCAAATACATCAAGTTGAAGGAGGGCTGGGGAGAAATACTGACTTCTTATTTTGAAAGAGATCTGACCCATTGAAAACATCACTTTCATGCTGCAGTGGAGACACACTCAGACTGCAGGAGCTGGAGAAGGGAGTGCACAGTGAGAACGTGGAGTATGCGGGTATTCCTAGGAAAGAATTTCGGCTTTTCATCTTGCCACTACATGGCCCCATTGCAGAATCAAAGAAAATGTCATTCAATGGGTACTTTCTGTTAATTGCCTCTGTTACCACAGTATTTGAACATTGTAAATATAATCCATGGGGGGCTGGCTTTTATCTTTAGTCTAGAGTGGTAGTTTTCAAGTTTTGGGTTATGCAACTGTATAAGAAAAAAGGCGGATGCTCCTTAATATATTAATTCATTCAAAATTGTATACAGGGACCACTGTACTAATATACTACATCTATGCTAACACATTAAGAAAAATAACATTTTGGAAGGATAAGATGAATTTAAATATAAATAAAAGCTCTATTATTTTTTCCTTGTAGGCGAATTGATGATAATGTGTCCTGTCTGGGATTCACATTTTCCATTTAGATATCTATATCTATAGCTATATAGAGAGAGGACTCGGCTGATATCTGTATTGCACAAGCCACCAATTTTCAAGTAATTATAACATTGAAAATGAAAACTCCATTATCAGTCTTGCAATTTAAGTCTAAATCTGCCTCTCCATCTTGTTTCATCTTGGCAAGATGAACTTCTTCCTTACGGTTTCTGCAATATTGAGTCCTAGTTTCTGTCTCATACCTCCGTGCCTTAGAATCACTGTGGTTCCTTCCTTCTTTCTGGAATTTGCTTGCAAGCCTAGGACACCCTGAGCCACGACTCTAGGCTCAATTCACAGGCTTCAGAATCAACAGAGCTACATCTGAATCTATTTCTTCCACTTAGAAACTGTATGACTTTGAGTAAGTTGCTTACTGCTCTCAATCTCATTTCCTCATGTGTAAAATGTGAAAACACCTATTCTCAAAGATTGTTGGGAGAATTAATTGAGAGACTATCTGAGGACAACCAGCACTATTCGTATGAGCAAATTAAATGTGATACTGTAATTAAATACCTACTTGACTTGTAATTGTGTACATATTCCCTTACAGAGAAATATGCCCGGGATTGAGCAGAAAATTGGTGCATTTTTCTGTGTCTTCAGGGTCTAGCAACATGGCTGGCATTTCATTAGTGTTAAATGTATATTTACTGAATGAGTAATACCCCTAGCAACTTGGTTGTGTAATGATTAACAAAATACTTAAAGCAGGTATGAGCATCAGTGCAGAGACACGTCGCATTTGACATACTTATTCCCACACATGTGTACGCTGCTTTCTTAAACATCTTCCCACCGCTGAAAGTTTCTACTTGTCTTCATACAAGGCCCAGCAGTAATTTTACTTGTTAAAGTTTTGCTAGGTCCTCTTGTATAACAAGCAAAATAGACTTCACTCATGCTAGGTAGGTTAAAAGAGTAAAGGCATGACACCTATTATTTTACTAAGTATGTGGCAGGAAACTAGAAACATTGTAAGAATAAAGAAGTGATAATGCTTAAAAGAAAAGATATATATTAAGTAACCACAGATCTGTTTGTGTCAATTTTATCAAAGGCACTCTTTACCCAAAAAACATTATTAATAATGTAATAGCTTTCTTTGCTCTATTTTAAGAAAAAAAAAAGCCTCAGCGACTCATCTTTCAGCAGTACTACTGAGCTTCTTAAATTGTTCCTGATGTAAATATTATTTAATTGATAATTAAAGAAATAATATTTTTTAGCATTAGATGAATAAAAACTCATAAATGGTATCTGGATAAAAAGGTGATAATTTACGTGACCATTGATGCTCATCTCCAGTTTCCAAGAAGAAAATTATGTTAATTAAATTATAGTTTGTTTTGATACCATATATCAAAATGTATACATTCTAAAATGGAGTATATACAGAACAAGAATGACCTGTGTTTTATCTTCACCCACAAGCCTTGTCCACTTTACAACTTACCAGATGTGTATAATTTGACTGCATCATAACTACTGAAAATGCTACTTTATTTGCACCTTACATTTGAGTCCATTCCCCTAGGCTCTGTTCTTTCTTCTCTGGAACACATGGATGACCCGCCTCCGTATCTGTTTGGTCTTCACACTATAGACAATGGGGTTTAGCACAGGGGGCAGTAACAGATAGATATTGGCCATGAGTGTGTGCACTACTGGTGACAGATGCTTCCCAAATCTGTGGATCATGGTGACACCAATGAGAGGAACATAGAAGAGGAGCACAGCACAGATGTGAGAGAGGCAGGTGTTGAGGGCTTTGAGCCTTTCTGGAAGGCTCTGGAAGCAATGCCCAGCACAATCTTCAGGATGAGCAAGTAAGAGAAGAGAATGACCAGGGCATCAAGCCCCAACGTGAAGATGACGATGATGAGGCCATAGAGGCTGTTGATGCGGGTGCTGGCACAGGCTAGCCGCACTGCATCTTGGTGGAGACAGTATGAATGAGACAAGACAAACTGCTCGGGTGAGAACAGCTACTCCAATCTTGCCGATGACGCCATGACTGAGGGTGGAAGCATAGCGCAGTGGGTCTCGGATGGCCACAAATCTGTCGAAGGCCATGGACACTAAGACTCCCGATTCTACCACTCCAAAACCATGGATGAAGAACATCTGAGTGATGCATACATCAAAGGGAATCTCAGGGGCATTAAACCAGAAGATGCTGAGCATGGAGGGCAAGGTGGACATGGAGAGACTAACATCAGTCAGAGCCAAGATAGAGAGGAAGTAGTACATAGGCTCATGGAGACTCTGATCTACCTTGATGACAGCTAGGATGGTACCATTTCCCAGGAGAGTTAGGGTGTAGAGAAATCCCAGGGGGAAGGCCATCCACGGGTTTTTGTCTGGCATCCCTGGAATACCTGTCAAAACGAAACTGTGGTGGTTGGCATGTGATGCATTAGAGTTCATCATGGTGCTCTCACCATCGGGTGAGGCTGGACTCTTCCACTTAGCTCACAGCTCCTAAACTGAAAATATGTTTTCATATAAGATAGGTAAATGGTTTTATGAATATATAAGTGGAATAGCAGAGGGGAGAACTCCATTAAAATCAGTGTCTGAGAAGTTTTTGCAACACTCTTTTTGCTTCTTAGACCATCACGCTAGATGGTGTCCTTTCCCTTGAATTTAATTTGTTTATCTGAAAACTGGAAGTAAGACTAAATACCTCGTGTTTAGATAGTCGAAAATTTGATTATCTCCTCCTTTAACAGTAGGTGAGGTTTGGCAGAAAGAAGGAGCAACGTGCAAGGACTTAATAGCATAGAGCATTTTAAATAATCAAACAACACTGAATTCACAATACTATTACCACACACACACACCAAACACAATGTCATTTCCATCACAAATTCACATCCACATAAATCCATGTGTATGTGTGTATATGTATATATATATATATGTATATTCTCAATACACATATATGTGTATATTCTTCCACATGCCTAGGTATCTGTCTCACTGTATTTATAATGACCTACATTTGTAAATAGACACCTTAGTGGATAAAACTGTTTAAATTAATATTTAATCTTCACAAATTTTGATAATTTATAATTTTCCATAACCTCATTTTAAAGCAGCAAGGGACAAATATTAAAGGTTATTGACTCAGATACGTAAGCTATCAGAGTAGCCACTCATAGGAGTTTTATTTTGAGAGTCTCCTAACACCCCCAAAACTTGGGACTATTCTTAAAAGCTCTTCTTTCATCAAACCAACACTTAACCAATTTCAAATCTGATTCCAAAACTTATGAAATTATTATCACCTTTCTTCCCTTTGTATAGCCAATAAATAGCAATAACCCATTTCTTCCAGGCACCCTAACTGATTGTCCTCCATTCACAAATGCTCCTTTGCAACAATTCTTCATTCTGCAGTCAGAATAAACTTTGGAAGTCTGGAATATGATTTATTCATCACAACCAAAAGCTCCTTTAAGAGATTCTGTTATACCCAGAACAGAGTCCTAAATCCTTATATCAGCCTTCAAAGTATAGCACAATTCATTCCCTGTCTACCTCTCTAGCACCAACTTATAACACTTCTTTCCCCTTTGGTCTCTTCAATCCAGCCAAATTTGCAGTGTTTAAGTTCCTGGATCTCAGTAAGATACTTATTGATAAGTGATTTCCACGTGTGTTCTTCCCTGTTCCTTATGCCTTTCTCCACCTGCTCTCAAGTTCCTCTTTGCCTAATGAAAGCCTATCTATCCTTCCCAAGTAAGTCTTTTCCAATTGCCCATAATAGTTTGACTTGTTAGTATGCATTTTTCATATTCTAGGCTTTTCCTTCTTATAAGTAAGTACACTTTATTAAACATTGCACATGTGTTTAATTCTCTGTCTCCTACTAGAATTGAACTCCCTGAAAGAAAGGAATATTTTCTGTTCATCACTTAGTAGACCATAAGCCATGCATATACAAGCTTTTCTATATGCATTGAATGAAGGAATGAAACAAAGAATAAATGAATTTGGATGACTTGCTTCTTTCTAGAAGTTCTACAAATCCTCAAGCTCCTCCTTGATTTTCTGCATGTGGCTTGAAAATCGTTAACCTAGATGAAAATCTCTTTTTCTAACAGGGCATAGAAAAAAAAAACATCTAAACGAGGGATCCTTGAAAGGTATTATGGTGTCTTTGTTCTCACCTAGGTACCTGTTGTAAGAAAGGAAAAAGAGGCACCTCAAGAGCAGTTCTGGGCGCCTGAGTCCATGCAGTGTAGGGGATGAGGGGGTGGGGTGCTGTCAGGTGCACAAGAGCAGGTGGGCTTCCAGGACTCATTCTGCCTCCTGTTTCTCTGCTGTGAGAGGAGAATTTGCTGTTTGGGAGACAACACTACAAAGAAATTATTTTGCAGATTCTGATCTGTTAGACACAGAGGAATCTGAAAGATTGTGTAGTCCACTCACAAAGGTTGTGTTGTTTATTGCAAACAGAATCCAGATGTCTTTCTAAATAAATCATGATGCACAGATCTAAACAAAGTACTTTGTGCTGCTGGTCTAACTCTCTGGAGTACTTTGAGGAAGGGGCTTTTTCATACTTTACACGGTAAGTGAGAGCCCTTCAGCTGGTTGGTCCTGCTGGTCCCTCTTCTCAATAGCTTTCACTTGGGGAGAATCAGTTGGCTCATCCCCACCGGATGTTTTCCTTGGAAAGACTTTCAAAATCTCTGATAGTCTTTGATTAAGTTCCCAGGGCCTGCTGAAGCACTGTTGTTCTATGGAAATAGTTGATTCTTATATTTTTCCATTTCTTTTTCCTGCTTTTGACTCTGTTTTTCTTTATCCGAATATCTTTTACCCACCCTCTCCTTTTTTTTTTTTTTTGTGAAATCTCATTCCTCTCTCTATTCTCCATCTCTCTTCCATTCTCCCTGAATTTTCAGTCCCCTCCCTCCTCTAGCCTCCAATTTGGTCCTCATTTACTCTTCCATCCAATCTTTATGTCAATTTTTCTATGTAATAGACCCTTCCCTGCAGTATATGCCTTCTTATACTCTAATACCAACACCTCCATTTTACTTTTTTCCATCTTTTCTGTACCTCCCCACCACCCCATGACACTCTATAGACTCTTCTCATCTGCCTGTATCATTTCTCTCACTAGAAGTTTTATGAGGATTTAATGAAATACAGTACATAAATAACCCTACACAGAGCTTGCTACATGGAGGGCATGTAAAAAGATTTTAAGATTAATTTATTACCTATATCAACCTCTGTGCTCCAGTTTGGAATTGATTTGGCTCCTTTCCTTCCTGAGACTAGAAAAACAGAGCACTTATGAAGACTTCTCAAACTCTCAGGTGGTGTCTGAGCCATAGTGATTCCACATAATCTCACAATTCCCCTGAAGAAATCCCCTGAGGTGTGTTGTGTGGTGCCACCTGGGCTATCTCATCCCAGTTTCCCTAAGAATTCCAAACTCCTTCATCTGTCAAATTGTCCTTTCTTCCACCAACACTTATTTCAAATATTCCTTCATTTTGAATTTATTTGCATTCTCTCAGCCAAGACTGAAGACAAAAGGATCTGCTTCTTTTCCCAAACCACACACACACAAACACTATATATATATATTTTTTTTTCACCTTATGTTATATCACTAAACAAGTCTTAGGATTGCAGCCCAGTTTTGGCCTAGGTCTTCTGACTCCAAAGCCAGTTTCAATCTCAGTGCTAACATAGTGTTGTGATTTGCATTGGAATAGGGTTAAAGTCTACTGCTGTTTCGGATGGGGAGAAGTATTGCCTGGACTCTCCATCAGGAACCCAGAAGACAGAGGTCTTTGAATTTTGGGGACTTCTTTGGTTCCCTGGGTTCTCATTCCAATATATAAAGTATGATTTCTTTAATTTGTTTTAATGTATTTTTCTGTAATGATATTTTCTTCATCAACAAGGTAATTCTTAAAATTACAGAAATAATTGGTGTCCATCAGTGTGTGCCTTTGTGTGGTCAGTCCTCAAAATGTCCACAGACCTCTTCATGCCCCTTTTGATCCTATGTCTTTTCCTTCATAGGCATATTTACAATTTAACAGCAGAAAACAAAAGTCAAATATAAATAATTCTTATTTTTTTTCCAGGCATAATAGAGAATGTATGGCAGAAGTTTATCTATTTATTTTTAATTTCTAAACCCATTTTCTTTCCAAGTGTATATTACGACCTACAGGAGACCAACTATACCATAAATGTTAAGGGCTAATGTTTTATAATAAGTTTTTCCATATATTTTCTAATATGAGTGTGTGACTGTATCTAGAAACGTATGATTTCTGTATAGTTTTAGTTTTACATGAGATATATGTGCACATATATATATTTCTATAGATAAGCTTTTATTTTTATTTTATTGAAGTTAACTTTAAGTACCCCTGGCCGTTAAAGGTAATAAGTTAAAAGACAAAATCTTTACCCTCAACAAGTTTCTAATCTGTGAGAGTGTTTAACGGAACCCCCCCTCCGCCCCCATCTCTCTGAAGTGCTGTTAGAGACAAAAATAGACATACACAAAACGTTTGATCTGAGTGCTTGACAGGTGAATAGGACTCCCCTGAAGACATCAGGACTTGCCCCATTCATATCTATAGAACCTGACGCTCCTTTAGCATAACCTCACCCAGCAGACTCCCAGATTATTCTAACAAACAGAAGTTTCTATTAGCTGGAGCTCTACCGTATGAAGGGTCTGCCTCTCCGGATCCAAGATGAACAAAATTCAGCAGAAAGAGTAGAGTATGAAATCTGATACAATTTGCTTGAAATC